GGTATATAGTAAAATGGCTATACTTTTTGAGTAGCCTTGAAATAGCCTTCAAATCTCTTTCCTGAGCCAGTTATAACTACTTAGATATGTACAGGGAGTCTAGCATTGATCAGCTTAAAGCCTGCCAAATCTGATAGTGAGTTTTTCAGCTATGACCCTCCAGACATGTGAGTGTGGCGTCCTAAGGGTCTAATCAGCAGGAAGAGGCTGTGGTCTAGGTTCTAGATCTCATATGAGTTGTAAAATAAACTGATAAAAGGAGATATATGATCAAATCTTGACAGGCTGAGTTGTCATTCTGAAGAGGCAAGGACTTTCTACTTTTCTGCTGGGAGCCCTGGGGATTTTGTTGGACTACGTAAGAGGTTGTGAGGTATGGGAAAGGGAAGAGGGCAGTGACTTTGTGTGGGTCTTAACTCCTATTTTAATTGGAGAAGTGCCAATTATTTTGTTTTATGGAATACCCTTCACTATAAGTTTCATTTGAATAAAATATTCCAATTTTTAACTGATTTAAAATCAGTTTTAAAAACCACTGGACTGTGCATATAAGGCAAGTACATGGTAAAGAGAAAGGACTATAAACCTAATACAAGGGACAAGATTCAGTGAAGCTGGTGGAATTTCAAACATCAGCTAATTCTGTGAAATATGTTCTTCTCAGACATGGGTAAGAATGAGGAGGAACTTGGGCAGGCACTACTTAATTCCAGTTCCATTGGCATATCACCTTTGGAATTTTCCAGACAAATGTTCTCCCAATTCAAAACCAGTACACACTAGGGTGCAGCATTATCTAGGAGCAACTATTTTCCAAATTTACTGAGAATAAATGCTGCCTAGATTTATACTGTTCCAAAGAAGTTATTGCTTTATTTGTGATACATTTCTAAACCCCACTGAATTTTTTGGCCCTTCCATCTTTCCTTTCTTTGCTCTTTATTTCTTTCCTTTTCTCTCTTCCTTCTTCTTGCCTCTCTCAATTTTACTGAATACTTTCCATGTGCCAGGCACTGGAAATGGAAGGATGGATAAGATATATTCCCAAGCTACAAGGAGCTTACAGTTTTGTGCTGGGGACAGGTAAGTAAATGGACAATAGAAAAGAGAGCACATGTTAAAAAATGAATAGAGGAGGACATGCTAAAGAAGTCAAGGAAAGCTTCCTGAAAGAAGTAGCCTAAAATTAAATTGTGAAGGGTAATTAGGAGAAAGCTAAATAGAACTATTAGAAGGGAGGGGCATTTTCAGCAAATATGAACATGTGTTGTCATTTTGGTGTAGTTTCTAAATCTGACTCTATCACTTGCTATGAATAGTTAAAATTTATTCACTTCAAAGTACCTGTGTTTCTTTCACAGCAAAATAGAGTGGGGAAAAGTTACTCCAGATCAAAGTGGGGTGATAAATAGGAAGTCAACCCTGATAAAATGTACACATTAAGCTAAAGGGTGGTAACTTTGTCTGGAAAATGACAAAGAAGTTTAATAGCATATAGTGACCTCCTCTTTGATGTGAATATTTTTTATCATTGTGCTTAAACATTTTTTTTTTTTTTAATCATAATTGTTTCTAACATTGTAAAAGTAGCCTTGGTAAAACTTTTTTTTTTTTTTTTTTTTTTTTTAATTCTAAAGCCAGTGAAATGGATTTTGCTTGAAGACCTGAAAAAATAATGATGCCGGATATAACTTTAGGGCTCCAACATTAGTAATATCCTTTAAGACTTACAAGGTACCCCCAGGTGACACACAGTTATTACAGCATAAATATGGTTATTTCAGAAGTGTATTTGGAAAAGAGGTCCTAAATGGGGATCAAATAAGTCTGCTTTCTAATGTTCACATTGTGGACATCTTGTCTATGTCCAGTTGTGCTCACAAAAAGATGTATTCCCTCTGTAAGACAGTTATGTTAGTATATAATAACTGAAAAATAGGACAGAGATGCATGACCAGGCCTTTAAGAAATTGTAGTGCACTACTGGCCATGAAAGTCCATTGTTGGGTTTATTAAACAGCAATTTACCTCAGATTCAGTTCACTGTCTATGGGACTATAATCTTTCAATGTTTATCATTATGAAAGAAGGAGGAAGAGACTAGACGCTCAAAGAGGAAATGGAAGAGAACAGAGGAAGTAGAAAGAGTTGGGCCTGAGGGCAGGGTGATCAACTCTGAGTCCAGGGTTCCACAAAGATGAGCAGACAAGTGACAGCCTCCATGAAGCTCACAATCATCTACTGAGTCACCAGAGTGCAATCAAGGACTATAGGAATGATTCTTACTTAACTGACCAAGCAGCTGACAAAGATGCTGTGGAAGAAGATTAATGAGCCTCTAGCCTGATTCTAATCCCTTTCTCCATCCTCAGAACACTGGTGCCCCCTAAAGAACTGGAAACCAGCCTGTAGTGGTGTAAAACTTACTTTGAAAAGTCTTGGAGTGAGTTTGCAAATGAATTAGTAAGAAATTTCAAGATATCACGTTCAGTTTTGTTTGTTTGTTTGAGAGTTATTAATTGTATGAAAACTCCCAAGAACTAGTTGAAGTGTTTTTGATATAAACAGTGATGTTGGAGAAGCTTTAGAATACTTTAACAGACAATGTCTCTGTTGAAACTATTGGAACCTAAGAGGGATGGTTGTGAAACAAGTATTAGTAAAGATGTATAAAATGGAAATACCTAAAATGGACAAATACAAAGAAAGAACTTATGTGAGTATGAATTTTGCAAACATTGGGGACTATAAGATAGTCTGAATGGCCCTAAAGAATGTGACCTGGCACATGATAATCACACATTAATTTCCTTTGGAAGGTCTTGGTGCACAGTGCATAGGGCATTTGACTAGTAACTAGAAGGCTGTTGGTTCAAATCCACCAGCAACTTCTCAGAAGGAAGACTGGGCAATCTACTTCTGCAGAGATACCACTTTGGAAACCCAAGGAGGGGATGCCATGAGTTGGGATCGACTAGACAGCAGTAAGGTTTTTTTTTTTTTTTAATTTCCTTTGTGGAATTGAATTAAATAGTAAAACATCTGATTCTTATAACTAGAGAGAGCCTGAAAAAGCATAAAACACAACAGCCTACATGTGCAGGAGATGGGTCTTTCCCAACCCTAGTCAGCTGGGGTTACTTGCCCCAAGTCCACATACCCCAGCATCAACCAGGCCTGCCTCCTCTCACCACCAAATATGTCTTCATAGGAAGCAACTACTTTAGAAAGAAGAAAAAAAAAGTGATAAACAAAACATAATATTTGGAAGTCTGTGATGGTCAGAACCATAAGTAGAGAGAGAACCAGGAAAATCAGGATTGATTGCAGAGAGTTTCTCCTGTGGGCAGCTTCCCTTAGGCAATGTCCTCTTAGCCCCATAGTATTTTATCTTTTTAGATTATTTTATTTCACATTTATGTTTGTTTATTTTATAAACATAAACAAATATTATTTATTTGTATTTATAAAATAAGCAGTTTTAAAATTTTTATTATTATTATTTTTAGTCAGCTGCTGGAGACAAGGCAGTCCGTATACTAGGCCAAAAGGATGCTGGTTGAAACCTACCCAAAAGTATCTTAGAAAACAGGCCTGGCAAATTACTTCCAAAAAGTCACAGCCTTGAAAACCTTATGGAGTATTTCTACTCTACATGCATAAGGTTAACATGAATCTGGACTGACTCTATGGCAGCTGACAACAACAGATAGAAAACTGACAGGATCAGTCATTTTCACTCTGTTTTACTCATAAGTCTCTTATCTTTCTGAGATTAGCAACCTGGGAAAGATGGGAAGTCTGAGAAAGGTCATATATATATATATATATATATATATATTTTAAATGAGAAAAAGAGTAGACCAAGCAGTAACTGAAGTCTGCGATTAATCACACCCTCATCCTTCTTGGCCTAAAATTGTGTGAATGTTCCTTTCTCCCACGTGACCATCAGCTTACACACAGCCCCTCAATTTCAGTAGTTTCCCTCCCCCATGGCATGTCCAAGGAAAGAACTCATGTCACCTGGTGTGCATGGACTCCAATGTTATCAGAAAAGATTATCATCCTGTGATAGAAAAGAAAACAGTGTGTACTGATGCTAGTCTCAACCAATGAGATGTGGCATGTGTCAAGAGTTAAATGAGAAAAGGTGCCTAGCACTGTGTGTGGGATAAAGAACCTGTTTGATAAATGTCTGTTCCCTATGGTGATGATGGTCTTCTACCACAATGACTTTCAAACATTTTTAAATGTACAAAAATAATTTTGAGTTGTAACCTAATATTCCTACTCACTTTCTGTCATACACAGAAACACAGATATATAAATTGCATAAATTGCTAGACTATTTGTGTGTAATATGTTTCCTGGGATTCTCATAATTCCTTTTATTTATTTTTTTAAAGAAATGCTGACTGAGGTCTAGAAAATTGATTTTCTGACTTCCAGTGGATTGTAAACAGCTATTTGAAAATATTCACATAGGGATTTTTGTATTTCCTAGTGGTCCATAAAGGGTTAAAGTGAATCCTGTGTTCAAACCATGATCCAATCAGCTGCATCATACCTTGGTGGATGATGGTAGGATGGAGTTTCCCTCCTCTGCCTTAGGAAAAGAGAATTAGAGAGAAGTAATTAGGGTGAAAGGGATTTATAGGAAGATGTGGGAATCAAAGAGAAAGTAAAAAAGGACTAAACTCCATATTATTCAAGATTTCACAATTCAATTACAAAATACACATGTAGTTTGTCTTTTTCCAAAACAGTATTTTGGTTTCTAATCACACACACACTCTTCAAATTTGCACCTAAGCAAAATTATATGGACATTATAGTAACACCACATGTAATATCCTTTAAAAATGTGAATGATACAAGAGTTTGAAACAAAGGTCCCTAGAAAACACTACTGATGAATTAAAAGGCAATCTCTGATCACCCTTTTACATACTATGAGTCATATTTTAAATTCTAATTTCTAATATTTTTCTTTCAAGGAAGCTTACAGGTTCGTTATCAGTTAAGCAAGGAAGAAAGCCATATCTTCACCATTGATGCAGAGAACTTTGCCAACAGAAAGATACACCTCTTGAAGATTAACCGAGAGGGGAGAGAGCTCACCATTCAGGTACATTTTTTCCTTCTCATGCAGCCATGTATGCTTTGGCAGCTCAACAAAACTTTTCTGAACCATAGGTGGAGCCTATGCTAGAGATACAGCTATGAATTATGCTTGGCCTCAGCCTTTCAAGAGCTAGCATAGTGGTTTCAAACTATATTACCGTCCTCCACTACCAGCATCAGTATCACCCGGGAACTTGTTAGAAATGCAAATTTTGGGGCTATATTCTAGGTCTACTTAATCGGAAACTAGAGTGAGGGGGCAGCAATCTGTGTTGTAATACAGTGAGGAAGATACACAGGTAAAGAGGAAATTACAAAAAACTGTGAGGAGGTCTGGAATCCCAGGGTAGTGCAAACAATTGATTTGCTCAGCTGCTAACTGAAAGGTTAGAGGTCTGAATCCACGCAAACTTGTCTTGGGAGAAAGCCCTGGAGATCTACTTCTGAAAAATCAGCCATTGAAAGCATATGGAACACAGTTCTGTTCTGACATACAAAAGGTTTCTATGAATTGGAGTTGACACAGTAGTAACTGGTGGTGGTAGTCATGAGATGGAGGGCTGTTTTACACACAGGTAAGGAGAACAGTGGAGAGAACTGTCTCATTTGAGCATCAGTGGATACTTCCTGGAGGAAGCTAGAACTGAGTCTTTAAAATGAGTAGGAGTTGGCTAATTGCAGAAAGAACAAGAGAGTGTTCAAGAAGATAGTCCATGTGTGTATAGTCAGGGCTAATGGGAACAATGTATGTGTCAGGCATCTCATGAAATCCCAAGGAACTTTATGTTAAAGGCAGGTAGCAGGTGATGGTTGAATCAGAATTGAAACTAAGCATAGTTTATATCATTCTGTTTAGAATGATGAACTCCATGGAGCCCTTAAATGTGCTCAACAATCACCCCATATTTTCTTGAGTCCATCAACCCTCCTGTTCTTCCTATATGGCCATTTGAAACCTCCCCCTTTCTCTTCATATTGTTAACAATTCAAACCTTATCTTCACTTTTAGCCAATGGTTTTGGGTTTATTAAGAAAACTGTAGCATTCAGAAGAGAATATCCAAACTCTAGCCAAAATAATTCCTACTACTTGCATCTATGTCTGAGCACACTGTCTCATTCTTGTTGCTCTAGAGTTTACTTCCCATAGTTCTGGTAAAGCCTGACCTATTTGTGTGCCAGATTGAGTACCCTCTTGTCTACACAAAAATATTGCTCCAGCATTCTTTTTACTCTCCTTTCCCAACATCTTTCCCCAAAAACATAAACTTGCAATTATTACACTACTAAAAATAAAAATAATAATAAAAAACCTCTTAGAGAAGGAAAACAACAGCAAAATAACCCTTCTTCTGTATCCATTTCTCCTTCACATATAGCCCCATTTTTCTCTTTCATTTTACTGCCCAAATCCTTGGACATATTTGTAATATACTTGGTTGTATATTTTTCCTTCTGTTCTGGTTACCTAGTGCCACTCTGACAAGAAATATATACCACAAATGGGATGGCCTTAACAAACAGAAGTTTATTCTTACAATTTGGAAGCTTTAAGTCCAAGTTCAAAGTATCAGTCTCTTGGGGCTGGGTGAAAGCCCCTTAACCTTGGGGTCCAGCTCTGCCTCCTCCTCCTAGCCCACTGGAGCTAGAGGTGTTTCTTCCTTCAGGCAGCTGCTGAGAAGCCCCAATGTTGACAAGTAAAAGGGCACAGTCCCAGTGTTACCAAACCACATGGCAGGGCATTAACTTAAGTCCATTTTAAGTCCCATGGTTGGCAGAGCATAGCAGGCTGCTGACCCATGACATGGCTATATGCAGGGTATAAGCATGCTATAGGCTAGACAGCATTCCCAAAGCTTCTCCATATATAAAAGAAGCAGATCACATTACAAAGGCAACTACTCAGCTGCTTATGGTAGATCCCACCATGCCATGGATTTGATTGCCAGTCTCATCATGGGAAATAACTACCACCAGCTTCCCAGCCACTCAACCAGACATAGCCAAATTGACAAACAAACATAACCATTCCTTTATCCTGAAGCCATACCAAACAAGGTTTTATCTTTGCCCTGAACCCAAACTGCTCTTCTCGTGACCACTAATAGATTCATCTTGCAAAATCCAATGGCCATTCCTCAGTCCTTGCCTTATTTGTTTCTGAGTTGTATTTGACACAGTAATTGCTCTCTGTTCTTAAAAGTCTTTCTTTCTTGACTTCCAGGACACTAAACCAAATTCACTTTCATTGAGTTGATTTGACTCATAGTGACTCCTTCTTGGTTTTCCGAGGTGGTAGTACTATGGAAGTAGATTGCCCAACCTTCCTTCCAAGGAGTGGCTGGTGGGTTTGAACCGCCAGCCTTCTGGTTAGCAGTCAAATGCCTTAGATACTACCCCACCAGAGGACATTACTCACCTATTTTTCCTTCTACCTATGTTCGTTCTTCACTGTGAAATTCTTCCTGGGGTATTCTTATCTCTCTAAATTCTACTCATTGTCATTCCTCAGGACTCTGATCCCAGATTCCTCTTTTCCATATGTAAGCTCATTCAATCTTATACCTTTAAATATCAGCTATATACTGATCAATCAATCCCAAATGTCTTCTAAATTCCACTGCTCTCACAAAATACCATATCTATGTATCCAATAGCTTATTTGCTATATTTATCTATATAGATGTGTGTTAGGCATTTGGAATGTAACATATTTAAAAGTGAATCACTGAGAATCATTTTGAAAATAATTTCTCTCTCCCTACAACCATCCATATCATTTAGTTGCTCAAACTCAAATTTGTGGTGTCCTGTCTGTTACTTCTCATTATCTCCCATACAACATTCCATAGATCAACAGCTTCTACCCTGTCCAAGCCACATTCATCCCTTCCTTGGATTATTGCAGCTTAAAGTTACTTCTTATTTGGGATAGCCCTGCTTCTTTTTGTTCTGCTGAAATCTTTGCAACAGAGAAGCCAGAGTGATCTCATTATAAGATTAGTCAGATTGAGATACTCTTCTGTCCAAACTCTTCCAATAGATTCCCTTTTCATGTAGAATAAACATCAAAGATGTTGCAGTGGCTTATAGGATCTCCCTGAAATGGCACCCACCTACCGCCTTTCCAGCTGTTACTTCTCTGATGTTGTTGTTGTTGTTATGTGCCATTGAGTTGGACCCGACTCATAGCGACCTCTCCTTGGGTTTCTGAGGCAGTATCACTATGGAAGTAGACTGCCCAACCTTCCTTCAGGGGAGTGGCTGGTGGGTTTGAACTACCAATCTTCTGGTTAGCAGCCAAGTGCCTTAGACACTATGCTACCCTGCCTCCTAAAGCTCCACTCATGCCACTCTGGCCTCCCTGCTATTTCCAGAGCTCTTGAATTAACTCATTGTTTCCTTTGCCTAAAATGCTATTCCCCTATATATTCACCTGCCTAGTCATTGTACTTCTTTCAGAACTTTATGCAAATGTCACTTTCTCAATAAGATTATCTCTGATCACTTTATTTAATAAAATAATCTATCTCCTTCAGGCAACCCTACACTTACCATCCTCCTTTAATTGTTCCCTTAGCATTTTCTTTTTTTTTTTTTCTTACTATCTTAGCACTTAATGCTACCAAACAAACAAACAAACTCACTGTCATCCAGTCCGATCTGACTCATGACAACCTCTCCTTGGGTTATATCACATGCTATGTAATTTACCTATTTATTGTCCTATTTCCCTACTCTGGAATATAAGCTTCATGAAGAAAAAAGTTTTGTCTGTTTTGATTACTACTTAATCTCCTGTTTATGCAACAGTGCCTGACATATAGTATAGTACTCCCCTTCCCCCCACAGGCCATGTTTGTCTGGCATCCACTCACTCCCCTTAGGAAATGTTTTTGTAAATGTGTTACACTAATTTTTTTTTCAAAGCAATCAGCATAAAAGGTGTTTTCATAAATACCTTCCAGGAGGCAGAAACAGTTGGCAAACAAATGGAGAAGGTCCATGTTATTTGCAAAAAATACAGCAGTCATCCCAATAAATATGTTAGCTAAATAAATGTATTGTAAAGAGCTTAATGTACTACACGGAGATGATTGATATTGATTCTATGGAAAGGTGAAGGAAAATCATGAGATTTTCGACAGATGAGTAGCATGGTTGGATTTCTATTTTCAGGGCCTTATTGTGATCACTGCATGAAAAAGACCCATTTAGGAATGATTACTCACAAGTCGGACAGACCAGTCAGGAAGAGATGGTGAGGACCTCAACTAGTGCAGTCGGAGAAGTCATGGAGATTTTCTAGGGAGAGCATCATACACAAATTCAGAGTCAGGCCTAGAAAAAACTAATAGAATATAATTTGGAGTTTTTATTGGGAGTGCTGGTTAGGCATGAGGAGAATGGTAACAAGTAGAATGAAATGGAATTAAAAGTGGGAAATGAAAAAGGAAAGCAATGGCCCATGTTGTTCAATTTGACTCTTAGTCTTAATAAATCCTCAAAAAGAGGTATTATCAGCAGTTCATTTTAGGGGCAACTGTTCAGCTAGAGGCTCTACACTGGAATAGATTAAATTTCTTTTTTGTCAAACCTCAAGCCTTGCCCAGAAAACCCCTCAGCACCCACCTGAATGAGACTAGGTAAAAATTATGGAGGAAATGGGACAGTGATGGTCCCACAAAAGGGGACAAGGAGGAAAACATGTGCAATGGATCCTATTCCTGTTCAATGTTAACTCTGAACAGTCAGTTATGGGAAGGTTTCATTTGTTTGTTTGTTTGTAGCAAAGAGTTTTGTGAGAAAATCTCAGGGGGGAGATAAATACTTGTTCAAAGCTGTGTATCATTTCCTAAGGAGAAGGGGTGTTTATGTGTGTGTGTAAGCCCTTATTTCACAAAAAAGGATAGAAAGGTTTATTTTATGTGCATTGTGGGAGAACAAGCCAAATATTTCTAATATCTCCAGAGAGATAATCTCTCAGAGTTCTTTGTTGGCGTTTTCAAGCTATTTCCCAAAGGAAGTGTTTTATGTCCTTTACCCACAGAACTCTGTTGATGCAGCTTTGTTTTCTGTTCTCTTGCAGGTGGATCAGCAACCCCAGTTAAGTTATAACTTTGCCCCAGATGTCGAATTCAGGGCTCTCAGATCACTCACTTTGGGCAGAGTTACAGGTTTGTTATTTGTTGTTCCCTATTTTTTGTGTGAGTTTGGTAAAAATAAATGAATATGTAATATTCATTGGAATTTTAGTTGATTCACTTTTGCGGCCTCTTGCCAAAATGTCCAAGATTTGGAACTAAAATTTCTGGTACAGGAGATGTTAAGTTGTATGTTGTGTATGTGGGGTGGGGGCAGTGGGCAGGATGGAGACTAGTATTTATACGTACTTCAGAGAAGTCCAACTGACTGGAAGGGATTCATATTTGCACTCATTCCAAAGAAAGGTGATCCCAAAGAACATGGAAATTATCTAACAATATCATCAATATTTCATTCAAGTAAAATTTTACTGAAGATAATTGAAACACAGTTGCAGCAGTATTTTGACAGAGAACTTCCAGAAATGCAAGCTGGATTCAGAAGAGGACATGGAATGAGCGATATCATTGCTGAAATCAGATGGATCTTAGCCGAAAGCAAAGAATACCAGAAAGATGTTTAGTTGTGTTTTATTGACTATGTAAAAGCATTCTATTGTTTGGATCATAAGAAATTATGGATAACACTGAGAAGAATGGAAATTCCAGAACACTTGATTGTACTCATGAAGAACCTGCACGTAGACCAGGAGGCTGTCATTCAAACAGAACAAGTGGGTGCTGCATGGTTTAAAATCAAGAAGGGTGTGTGCCATGGTTGTATCCTTTTACCATACTTATTCAATCTGTATGTTGAGCAAATAATCTGAGAAGATGGACTATATGAAGAAGAACATGGCACTAGGATTGGAGGAAGAATAATTAACAACCTGCAATACACCAACAACACAACTTGGCTTGAGGATGATTTGAAGCACTTGTGGTGAAGATTGAAGATTACAGTCTGCAATATGGATTGCACATCAATATAAAGAAAACAGAAATCCTCACCACTGGACCAATAAGCAGCATCATGATAAATTGAGAGAAGATTGAAGTTATGAAAGACTTCATATTATTTGGTTCTACAATCAACACCAATGGAAGCAGTAGTCAAGTTATTAGACAATGTATAGCACTGGGCAAATGGATTGTAAAAGACCTCTTTCAAGTGCTGAAGAGCAAAGATGACTCCTTGAGGATTGAGATGTGCCTGACACAATCCATGGTATTTCCAATCACCTCATATGCACATGAGAGCTGGACAATGAATAAGGAAGACCGAAGAAGAGTTGATGCTTTTGAATTGTGATGCTGGTGAAGAATTCTGAAACTACCATGGCCTGCTAAAAGAACCAACAGATCTGTCCTGGAAGAAGAGCAGCCGGAATGCTCCTTGGAAGTGAGAATGGCCAGACTTCATCTTATCTACTTTGGTCATGTCATAAGAAGGAACCATTGCCTGGAGAAGGATCCCATGCTTGTTAAGGTGGAGGGCTGATAAAAGAGGGGAAGACCTTCAATGAGTTGGATTGACACAGTGGCTGTAATGATCATGGAGCTGGGGCGGGACCAGGCAGTGTTTTGTTCTGTTGTGCATGGGGTTGCTGTGAGTTGGAGATGACTCAATAACACCTAACAACAACAACAAAGAAGCTGGAGTTCTCTGGGAGGTGCAAACAATTAACATGGTTGACTTGTAATTCAAAGTTTGGATGTTCAAGTATATGTAGTGGTGCTTTGAAAAAAAAGTCCAGGCAATCTACTTCCAAAATATCAGCCATTAAAAACTCTATGGAGCGCAGCTCTACTCTGGCACACATGGGGTCACCAGTTGTCAGAACAGGCCCCATAGCAACTAATACTGGTTTATAGAAGCTTGTGTGAGGTATTGATTGCCCTGTTCAAATCTTAAAAAATGGACATGGAGGTGACATCTTCTGACCTCCTCCAATCTCATGAAGGGGAAACAGAGTCACCATCAGCAAGCCCAAAGCTTATTCCTAAGAAGCCAGATATACTGCCACCCTCCAATGTTTTTACTAATTCTGATATCAGCCATCCCATCCATGGCACTCACTACTTCTCTGCTGGGTTCATTGCAATGGCCACACAGAATTCACAGATAATACACATGATTATGAGGTTTATTAGGGAAGTGACAGACTACAATTCATGTTCAGGAACATGCTCAGGACACGATCCTTTGATCGGGAGTCTCCCCTCTGCTGTGCCTTCAGACATGACTTTTTGACCTTTGGCCTCTCGGCCACTTGCTTAGTCAAGTGTTACAAAGCTCTTTTGGCTCTGCTGATAGGTACATCTAGGTGTATTCTACTCCATCAATAAGTCTCCTGTCCAAGGGCACTCAGCTTTCTTGCTCTGTGGGCCAGGAAGCCTGCTGTTCTGTCGCTTGCCTTTTGGTTCCACCGTGACTATCTCTCTGCCAGGCATCTATCTCTGCCTGGGGGATCTCTCTCTGTCAGGCATCTCTTTCTGCCAGGTATCTCTACCAAGGAAGCCCAGTGCAGGGATCTTGGGTCCAACGACACACTCTACTTCACCTCCAGCTCTTCTCTCTTGATGGTGGTGAAATCCCCTTTTCTTTCCCTAGGAAGGCCCATTTATGCATGACAGAGTGACAAAACTAACCAATCCCAACATAAGAGTTCTATACACCTTATTTGCATAGTCCTACCCAGTAATCCTCAGAAGGAAGGTTGGGCAATCCTACTTCCGTAGTGATACTGCCTCAAAAACCCAAGGAGGGGTTGCTATGAGTCGGGGCCAACTCGACGGCACATAACAACAACAACAACACCCAGTAATCCAGTGGGAGTTACAAAGACTATGTCTAGAAAAGCCATATGAAATAATTCAGTGCACCACAGGCCATGCCCTGGCTTTTCTAGTCATTATCCCTTTCATATGTCAAAGATTATCATCCTCTTCAAATTCAGTTTAAAATAAACACACCCATGAAAGCATGTAAGCCAGTCACTTCACGTCTTTATCTCCCCTCATTTTAAATAGCCAATTTCCAGTTTACATGTCCCTTTCAAACCAGCACTCTGAGTAGACAAGCATGTTCCTTTCTCTCTGAAGGATCTGTTCTGCTTGGAATTTTGGGCATCTGCATCCATTAAAACAAATAAGCAAAGGCCACGCCAGAGAAAGCCATTCAAATTGCAGCAACTTAACACTAGCTCACTGTTAAACATCTTTCACTTTATTTGGTTGGATTCTGGTCAGCTCAGCCTAGCCATTCAATCTAGGTCATGGGTACCAACTGCAAGCTTGGGAGTCACACTCCTCCCTTCAGCCAACACCTTCTCTCTCTCATCCCTAGACCTCAGGAACTAGTTCATTGTCCATAGTCTCAGGAGTCCAGCAACTTGCATTTCACACCAGCCAGCCTTCCTCTCATTCCTAATCTGCATGGGCTAGATCAAAGAGTACCAAACTCAGCATGTTTCTTCATTGCTGCACTTCCCTCACTTCCACTTGTCAAATGGCCCCAGGTGGTCACAAGTGAGCAGCATACAAACCTGCTACTCGATGGCTCCCTTTAACTTCCATTCCTGGAACATGTTTCTCTCATGGATTATGGCTTTCCTGCCCTGATGCACCCAAAGCCAAACCTCTTGAAATTAAAAAAAGTCAGTCAGTCATTTTTTTTTTTTTTTTTCCTCTGCAGGTCCTTCCTTCAAATGCAAATCTGTTCTCTCAACAGATCTAGATCAGTCTCAATGTCTTTTCAAATGCAAATTTCCTCACTTTGAAGGTTCTGGGTGGGGTTCAGGTTTTCTACCTAAGCCCCCTAAACTACATGCAGGGTTTGAAAGAAAAGCCTATGTTTCTTCTGGCCAAATTCTATTTTCCCTTTTAACATATCCAATCAAGTATTGGCTGAAGGTAGACTTGCACATCCTCTGTTATTCATACCCAATATTCATTTCTAACATACAGCTAGGTAAGAACTTTCACTATCTGTAGTACATTCAGATAAATACAAAATCTAAAACACAATCCTTTTAAAGACATTCCAGGTTTCATCTTTTCACCTTGACAATATTCCCATTCTATGCATATGGTCTTGAGTCTTTGGCTGGGTGTAACCCAAAGCCCTAAAGTCTGAATCAATTATCTCCTTTAAGTGGCTTGACTCTTGCCTCAGGCCTTTCTCCCCTCAGCCACAGCATAATATCTCCATAATCTGCCATTAGAGGTAACAATAACCAAATTAACCATCTAAGAATCCAAAGTTTCATTTCCCAGGCTCCTTCCTTCTTTCTGTTACATAGTCCCATGCTTCCATGAGTCTGGAGCCATTGCAAAAAACCCCACTTCTGACACCAACTGCAAAAAGGACATGGGAGTGACAACATCTGACCTCTTCTAACTTCACAAAAGGAAGACAGAATCACCATTAGCAGCCTAAGGCTTATTCCTATGAGCCCAGACATGCTCCCACCCTCCAGCCTTTCACCAATTCTGACACCAATCATCCCTCCCATGACACTCACTTCTTCTCTACTGGGTTCAATAATATACCACAGTTGCCACATAGAACTCACAGACAATACTCACAATTATGGGATTTATTTTTATTGCTTTTTCTTTTTTCCTTTCCTAAAAATAGTAATTATTATTATTTGATATACAGTTGGCCATCCATATCCATGGAGGGCTAACCACAGATCAAAATACTTCCAGTGAAGGAGAAGCAATTAAGTAGTCACAGCAATCTTTCAAAGGCTAATGAAGAACATAAAGTACATTTTACATAAAATTTACATTATATTAAGTGTTTTGGTTCTTTAGGGAAGCAAAACTAGTGAAGTATATATATATATATATATATATGTATTTATGAGAGAGAGAGAGAAATTTATCTCAAAGAAATGGCTTACACCATTGTAGAGGCTGGCAAATCCCAATTCGGTGCATCAGATGATCAGATGTCAAGCTGAAGTCTTCTGATTCACGTAGCTGCAGGGACTGATGAATCCAAGATCTACAGGTAATGTGGACAGGTTATTGGCTTACAGGCAGTAACAGCAACTGTCATAAGATTGGCAGGAAATCCATCA